TTAGCAACCAATTGAAAAATTATACCTTCACTTCACTTCCTGTATTATACTTTTTATTATAATAATATTATTAAAACCATTCCAATTATAGAAAGTTAAAATATAACATAGGTTTTAATTAAATTATAAAAATATTAAAAATTACTTTTTAAAAAGATCTATAGTTATAAACTATTTATCGAACAAACTTACGAATTATAACGTTGTTTTTATTTATGTTTTGGTGTTTTGTTCGTGCAAATATAATATGCCAACCCACTTCAAGTCAATGTTCGGATGGCTTTAAAGTGCTCAGTTTGTTTTGATCATACAAACACATGATAAACAATTTTTTAAATAACACATAAATAATTTTTATTTTTATACACAAAATATTTAACAATTAAGACAGTAACGACAATATTCACAATTGTGATATTCTCTATATTTCTTACAACTTCAATTTGACAAAAGAATGTGCTTTAACATTTAAAGCTTTTCCGCATGTTGAAATTGATGGAAACTACAAAATACAACTCGATCAAAATCTTAACTATTCAAATGGAATTTCATTTTTGATTAATTCGAAAACACAATTAGAAGGACTTAAAACATTTTCTAATTATCCAATTTCACTCTCAGAAGGATCTATCGTTGAAATACATGACGACTTTTTAATAGAAAATAATTTGTTTAGTGACGGATCGTTATTTGTTTTTGGAAATTTGAAAATTACAAAAAGTCTTCTTATTTCCAATGGAGGAAAGTTGGTAATTGTTGGTGACGTTTTTATTGAAGAAAACGGAAGTATTATTTGTGAGAATTGCGAAATAAACAGTACCAACATTTATATGAAAAAGAACACGACATTCAAAGCAATTTTAAGAAGTGTGATACACACAAACACTTTAACAACTGAAGAGAACGCACAAATCACTTTATCGTCCATTTCGCTGCAAATTAATAACATTAAAATCAATGAGAACTCGACTTTGATTTTTGACAACGTTAAAATTTCAAATGAAACAATACAGAATACACTGGAAGTATCAGAACGACTGTTATATTTACAAAAGAAAACATATTAAACAATTTTATGATAACAATTACAAATCATAGTGATGTCTTTTCTAATGGAATGTGCACCTTTAAACACTTTAAAATTGTTGATTCGAGCATGACAATGCGAACTTTAAGTGTGTTAAACATTGATAATATCACATCAACTAGTGATTCGGTTATTTCAATATTTGACAATATACAACTGCGCTCAAACACAATACAAATAAAACAAAATTCCATTTTCAAGATTGATGCAAGTGAATGTATTATAACTTTTAACGTGTTTGACTTCTCTGAAATTGCCAAATTTGATATAACAAATACAAATGGTTATTTGAATAATAAAAGTGTTGTGTTGGATGGTACAATTTGTATGTGTGACATGTCTTTATTTAACATCCAACAAGACGCATTTGTGACAATTTTAAAGAAAATCATAATATCAAATTATTCATCATTTAAAATAGAAGGAAAGTTGCATTCAACAGACGAAAATCAACAAACGAGAAAAGTCTTATCTTTGTCAATAGTTCTTCATTTTTAATATCAGGCAATGCAAAAATCGAAACTATTAGTTCCATCATTCTCTACGATGATTCCAAAGCAACTTTTAAAGGCGCTGTTTATGTTGAAGCCGCCATGTTTACGTGTTACAATTTATCACATCTCTATTTTGGTCACAATCTCAACATACAATGAATACT